TCAAAGGTTATTATCAGCAGTGCTTTAATCACTTACTTGTGAAATGGATAGAAGATCATGTATTGGAACCAGAAAAGATAAGTATCCTTGATAGAATTGTAAATGCAGTTACTACATGGTCAATTGATGTGAAAGCACAGACAATTATCAATTGTTTTAAGCACTATAAAATTAGGGCCCCCGATATCAATGAATTGCAAGTTACAAATGAACTGGATGAGGAGAATAGAAGAGTCATTGTAGAATTGAGTGATCAGATTTGACAACTTCACTACGCTAATCGAATGGATATTAATGTCTTTCTCGATCATCCAAATGAGTAACAAGTCGCATATGTTTTAACTAAATAAGAAATCATTGCTGCAATTAGACAAGAAGAGAAAGGAAATAATCTTGAGGATAATAGTACATAAATGCAAAAAGTTTCGTGCCATGAAGCTCTAAACATGATGGAGAAGCTAGAAATATTTTGGCTTTAACAAGAAGGTGTTCATGCTAGCGAGTTATTACATACCCGCAAGTTAGAAGATTTGATAACAACTCTAAAGCATAAATCATTGTCCCAAACAACTTTAGATAAATATTTTATTTTATCATAAACCTTTAATATAACATAGCATATATATTTTTTGCAATATATAAATAATTATTACTATGTGGAGGTAACTTTCCTTAAGACGGGAATTAAAAAAATTAAAATTTATTACAATGCAGTGTTTATTCTTATTTATAACTATCCCAAATTGGGAATAGAATTTTTCATAACTATATAGAGTTTATTCCTATATAGAATATCACTATAAAAAGGTTTTACTGTATATAGAGTATGAATAATAATAACAACCATTGTAAATCATATGGATGGTAATTACAAGGATTTGTATGCTAACATTTGTTTTTGTTTATTTTCTAATANAAGAGAAAACATGTTACCATGGTTGCCCTGTCATAGCTGTTACCTTCTGAGTGATTTTTGGGCATCTTATCGATTGAACTGGGTTGAGACCTAAACATAAAAGCCATGTCTCTAAGCTTTAAAACGAGACTAAGATCGTAGCAATCCGATGTGTATAACTCGAGATATGCCTTCTTGAATATGACCTGTGCAGAATGACTACCTCAAAATATTTTGTTGTTTTTATGGGAATGTGGTTGGTAGAAAATACTAGTTCTCTAATGATATTTTTATATGTCATAATGTATTCTTGCATTCTCACATTTGCATTTAGAAAGAATAGCAAAGAATGAGCATAGTTCCATGCACATACACATGGATGCGAATAGTAAAGAATAAAGAAAAAGAAAGAAAAGAATTAATCGTAAAAAGATAAGAGAAGAGAAGGTTGTTGCGATGAGGAACCCGTGAGTGGCAGAGAAGAATAGTCCCACATACACGCCGCCTTCAGTGAGCGGCCTCAGAATCAGAAAGAAGTAAATATACAGTTCGTTAGAAGTGTATGTGGATGAAAACTGTACCAACGAAATTTACCTACATGCACGCCATCTTCAGTCAGCGGCCTCATAATCAGAAAGAAGAGTTGTACAGTCCGATATAAATGAGGACTGTACCCACTCACATGGCCAGGGTTCCGAATCCATGCCTCAACCGAGTCCGATCGGCATAGAAAGAATATAAAGAAAGAACAGAAAGAAAGAAAGAATAGAACACAAAAAGAAAGAACAGAATAGAAAGAAAGAAAGAATAGAACACATAAAGAAAGAACAGAAGAGAAACAGAAAACAGAAAAGAAATTGCATTCTTTATGCATTTATGCACATGCATCATGGTATTCATATTATTCAGAATTAGTTTCTCCAATCATGCTTACATGTTAGTTAGTGAGAAACAAGAATAGATAAAGAACAGAGAGAAAGAACAGAAAAAGAATAGAGAAAGAACAGAGAAAGAACAAAGAGAAAGAACAGAGAGAAAGAACAGAGAAAGAATAGAGAAAGAATAGAAAAGAACAGAGAAGAAGAGAGAAGTGTGATGTAAGGAAAGAATTCAGAATATGAGCAACAGAGATAGAAGGGTAGCATAACAGGTTTACTTACTGAGCAATTAGTGCTCACCCCGTTGTTTTCAATATTTTTGCAAGTAATAGATGAGATGCGGTCGTTTGGAATATCAACATACGAAAGGGTCGGACAACACTGTCGAGCTTCTTGAGAAATTTATTTATACTATGTATAGTTTTATATATATATAAAGAAAAAATTGGGCCCATTATTTTATACTCATCTACATGTATATTTTTGTAATATTTATATTTAGTGAGTTTTACTGTTTATTTTACAAGTATACTAGCTAGAGAGACAGAGTCATTACAGTAACACATCTAGATGGTTAAATTCTTGTCATCTAGTCACAAACCAATTGTTAATATTGATTTTTCATGTGTGGTAATTTTATCAAATTGATCCTTGCTTGCATAGTAAATGCAGGACATGATAAGTATATAGAGTATGAATAATAATAACAACCATTGTAAATCATACGGATGGTAATTACAAGGATTTGTATGCTAACATTTGGTTTTTGTTTATTTTCTAATACTATAAAATTCTAAAATTATTATAATTTTAGGGCACAATCTCTAATAGTATTATGTTTTAAAAATAGAAAAAAAAATATGAAATATAGATTATTTTTGTCAGTAGGGTCATATATAGAAAATTAGGTCCAAACTATGTATTGGATGACATGTCAATATTGTAATTAAGTATGAGTAAACTGACTTGTCCCCACCAAATAATAACCTAATGACACGTTAGCACCATAAACTTTTAAAATACTTTTACTATCCAAACATAATTTCGTTAGCAAATTTATGAGACGAAGGACAGGATAGTCAAGAGTTTATTAGAAGAGGGCAGGATGGTCTCGATACGGTTTGGTTGTTTGCACGCTCAATCTTTCTCTGGTGACGAGCTCTTTCTAGCGACCATGTCACCGAGATTACTCTAGAACACCATTCACTCCATCGGCCACTCCTCTCAAAACCCTTAACATTCCCAACGCCCTATGCTATCAACGCTGTGGTCATCATTGCCTTTTTTCCTAGGATTTGGGTTTTTGTTTGATTGATGAATTGGGATTGACTGATTGGGTGTTTGATTGTTGGAAGATGAAAAATGAAGGTTGTTAGGAGTGTTTTCTGGCTTGTGTGTGGTGATTTTCAGTCACTGCACTCCCAAAGCTTCAACCTTCCGTTTTCCTCTTGCAGCAACCTTTTGACAAGAGGTCGAGCTCAGCTAGCACTTTCCAGCCAAGCATGCGCAACAAGGTGGTGTCTGCCTAACACAAAACCAACAAAAACAGCCACAAGACTAACCTGATTGGGGGGCAAGGCAACACAAAGAGAGGAATCCAGTGGCTTTTGCGTTCTGGTAGGATGCACGAGAGTTCACAGACAGAGAAGGGTAGGTTGGTTGGGGAATTTTTACGAACAGTGTTGGGTGCCCAAAAAATGACCAGTGGACGCAAAGAGGAGTGGGGAAGTCGATTGAATGGTGGGTTTTAAGAGGGGGTGAAGGGGTTCTAGTAGTTGTGGAATGGTGAATTTTTTGTGTGATAATTGATAAGAGACAAGCCTGAAAGATAGGTGTTCCCAGAAAAAAAAATGGATATTTTGCGATCAGAGAGTGAAATGGGTGGGGTGAGGTCAGTTAGAGGTTAATTTGGTTCACAATGAAAATTATTGTAATAACGGAATTTTTATAGAATATAATGTTGAGTAGTAAATGATATCTTAAAAATCGTGAGAAAAAGTCATTTCTATAATATAAGTACCTAAGAGTCCAATGTGGTATTACCACAACATAACAACATCACTTAGATATAAAATTATTAATAGAATTTCAATTTCATAACATTATTAATAGTGTCATAATATCAACTATTAAATTTAGGATACTTCATAAGATATTATCCATTCACAAAATAAAATACGAGAATTTAAAAATGAAAATGTAAACGATCACAACCTATAAAATTAGGGTGCATCAACAAAACTTGGCTTCGTTTGGTTGCCAATTGGGAATACTACTTTTAGTATTCCCAAAAAAGTTAAACAGTAAAAATACCCAAAAACTCACAATATTATTCAACTTTTTTTAAACCCCCTAAATTTGTTAATGTAATTAAATACCCCTAAATATTTTTTAAAAAATTACAAAAACACCCCAATAATCCATATTTACCAGATTCTGGCCACCATTGCCGGAAAATGGTCGGAATCTGGTAGGATGGCGCACTATCGGCTGAATCTGGCCGGTAGTGCGCCGATCTAGCCTTTTCCGGCCAGATCCGAAATCTGGTAGGATGGCGCACTACCGGTTGAATCTGGCTGGTAGTGCGCTGATCTAGCCTTTTCCGGCTAGATCTACGGTGGATCTGACAGAAAAAGGCCAGATCTTTGGCCGTAACCAGTCGGTAACGACGGCCAACAAACGGTCGTCATTGACCATCAACGATGACCGTTTGTTGGCCATCGTTGACGAGCAAATACCGTCAGATCTGGCCGGAAAAGGTCATATCGGCGCACGGTCGGCAAGATCCAGCCGGTCATGCGTCGATATGGCGACCCGGCCACCCTCCGACGGTGGTGGCCGACTGTCCGTATTTGAGAGTGGGTTAAGGGTGTTTTTGTTAACTTTTAATGTTTTATTATAGGGGGTATTTTGTAAAAAAATAAACATAGAGGGTATTTTATAATCTGTAAATCCTACATCGTAATACCCACCCAATTCAACTTTTTAAAAATTTTTTTTCCCAAAAACACAAAATTGTGAACCAAACGGAGCCCATAATTTTAAAATTGTCAAAATTCTCATTTTGTATTAAAAGTTACAGGAATTAATATGGAGAAAATTATTTTATGACTATTTTTGTTGGCCCAATTTTATTTTATTTTATTTCAGGAAAAAAAAAAAAAAAAAAAAAAAAGCAAAATCAGGGTTTGTCCTCGAACATTTGGAAACTATTTACCCTACTAAAGCCAGTAGTGGGAGGTGTATTAACTCGAGTTCCACTTCCGCGGCTGCCGCTCTCTCAAAATCTCTCGAAACAATGGCAGCATTAACCCGCTTTACAAAACCCTCTTCATTATCCCTTTCTAACATATCCAGAGCTTTCTACTTTTATTCTTCTTCTTCAGCCGACGTCGCTCACCACAATCCTCATCCTCAAATCCACCATTTAACCCGTAAAGATCCAAAGGACAGGAATGTTCAATGGGTTTTTCTCGGCTGTCCAGGCGTTGGCAAGGGCACCTACGCCAGTCGTCTCTCGAAGTTTCTTGGTGTCCCTCATATTGCAACCGGTGATCTTGTTCGCGAAGAACTCGCCTCCTCTGGTCCCATGTCTCACCAGGTTCTTTTTTTTTTTTTTTTTTTTTATTCATTTATTTGATTCATGATGTTTTAATTTTCGTCACCGTTTCAATTATATATATGAATCAGTGCTTGTATTACTGTTGCGAAGCTGAACTTCCGGTGTAGTTCTCTTTCGACTTCAGATCTGCTGAAAGAAATGATGATTTCGCATTATATGAGATATTATTTAGTTTAGGTTGTAGAGCTTGATGTCAATTCGATGATATCTTACCATTTTGTTAATAAAGCCGGTAAATTTGTTAGAAACAATGTCGTTCTCATCTTGTAAGTTGGGTTGTCATAATGACGCTTGATTTAATCTTGGCTATCACGTATTTCAACTTACAGTCAGCTGCCTGTAAGGAATATGATTGGTTTGTGGCTGTTAGCGACTTCTCATGATCTATTGGTGTTTGATGCAAAATCTTGTCTGATGTAGGACGACTTCCCTCATAAACCTAGGATTTCTATTGTAATTTGTTTTCTTATTTTGTTAGGTATTCTTAATTTTCCCATTTTACTTTCCTTATGTAAAAAGAATCTAATTATTAGTGAAAGCTACTTCTTATTTTAGAATTAGGCGTTTGTTGTTTATTATTGTTTCTGTTTAGTAAAAAAAACACTGGTGTGATTTTTCTCTAATTCTTGGCATCCTTTTCTTATCTTCCATCTCAATCTCTTGGTTCTGCACAAAAAAAAAAAAAAAAAAACCTATCCTTTTTGCTGCATCAAATAAATTATAAGTTATCGAAAACTGTCCTGCTGCTGACTATAGGAGCCCGTAGTGTGTTGTTTAAACCACTTTCACTCTCAAGTGAGATCTTTGGTTGTTAGACCTAGGAGTAAGAAAGAATTGCTTATTGATGTTTTTATGTTGTATCTTTTGCTAATGAATTACACCTATATTTTTAGTTTCTAGTCTAACAATAATAGAGGTTCAGTAGAAGTGTCTAGATGTAACATTATTAGCACTTTTGGATTATCAATCTTCAATTTGTCTTGGTTTCCTCCTCAACTTTGAGATTATTATCCTATTGAATTTCCAAGCTCTTGGACTTCTTTGTAATAGTTTTTACACTTTTGTCATCAGCCAGTAATTCTTTGACCTATTTTTACCCAGTCGTTTTTATGTGAATTTTCTTGATATACACCTCTAAACCTCTTACTGGTGGGTCTCATAGACAAAAAAAAGTATTTGGAAAATTATTAGAAATTATAGTGTAACTTAGGGTCATTTGGTGGCTGGTGCTACCTTTTGTTGGGACTAAGATCCTCTGAGCAACTCAATTTGGTATGACCTTATGGTGGACTCCTTGAAGTTGTACTCCTTAATATCACCTTTGTTGGGGCTTGGGTTCTCTTGGGAACTTATCCTCTGAATGGACACTCAAATTCTTTTGGTGGACCTCTAGTGTACCTCTTTGAATCCAACGAAGACCAAAAATGTTATCTTTCTTGTTCTAACAGGGAGGCTATTGATGCTACCTTTCTTTTAAGTGAATTTGCTTCTCGTAAGTCTCACCCTTTGTTGAACTAGTTTTGATGTTTTCAGCTTACTATGATTAATGTTTTAATATTTTCTTTCCTTTATAGCTCAATCAAAGAAAGACCCTAAAAAAAACAAAGAAGAGATGGAAACAAGGGTAATCATTAAATTAATGACGTGCTTGGTGTTAGAATAATATTAATTATGGGAATACAATCAATCCTTAATTCTAGGAGTGTATTACCCTTTATTAGGAATACTCTTGCCTTGGTTCCAAGATATTAATGAATCAAAGAATATATCCCTAGGATCAGGGATTGACTATATACCTAGAATTGAGAGATTAGCATGCTAACAGTTAGTTCTTGAGCCCAAAAGAGTTGGCTTGAGTTTCAAAATGGTTTAGTTAGCCTTTACGTTTTGCATTTTGCTCGAAAACGTTCAATTAAATTAATATCATAGTTGAGCAACAATGCTCTATTTAATTAATTTCATAGTTGGCTAACTTCTTCTACTTCATTTTTTATTGCATCGTTCCTTGGTATACCTTGATAGGTAAGATATTTGTTCTTCCTTTGGAAACCAAGAGAAATAGAGAAAGAAAGGCCAAGCAAAAAGTGATATTATGTGTTGTAAATGAGGTGTCTATTTGCCATCTTATAGAAGCCACATGTCATTTGGTGGCATGATTAATTGTAAGCCATGTGTCCTTAAGTTTGGTTACATTTCATTGGTTAGGTGGGTAACTGGAATTAGGATATAAACCTCCTCATCCTACAAATTGTTGTACCAAATTGAAATACAATTGAATGAGAAGGGCTAGGATGCTATTCTCTATCATTCAATTGTCTCATGAAGTATAAGATGCTATTCTCTTCTCACTCAATTGTCTCTCAATTTGGTGCAGCAATTTGTAACGGGTTTATATACTAATTCTAGCCACCCACCTAACCAATGAAATATTGCCAAACTTGAGGACACATGGCTTGAATTTACATTTAATCATGCCACCAAATGACATGTGGCTTCCATAAGATTGTGAAAAGAATAGTTACATAAGAGAATCTAACTCTGATTTATTTAAGTCTAACCAAAGTTGTGTTCCCTAGAGAAGTTAAGTCCCAACAAAAGATGAAATCCTAAACAATACACTTTTTGTGTCTAAATGAGCCCACTAGGAGTCCATGAGGATATAAATACTTGGGAGAAAGTAAGTCCATCAAGTAGGATATCACTAGCTAGAATCGGAATGGTTCTGTTTCCTTTTTGGGGTTGTTTGGCTCTTATAGATCCTATAGTTAATCTATCTTTTTACCCAACCTACTCTAGAGTTTCCATGTCTCTCTTTTTAAATTATGTTTTCCTCCTTCCTCAAGGCTGATATGGCACCTTAGTGGATAACTAATCCACTTTTATTCTTATCTCCTTCCATCAATAAACTTTTTTCATTTCCTTTATATATTATATAATTGGATGATTCTTTTAGTATAATTATTTTAAGCAAATCTAATAATTTTAGAATCCTGCAAGTGCAAAGAAATTTAGAGGACATAAATCTTGAAATGGAGTAAGAAATAATAAACCAGAAGTTTCCAACAATTGGATTCTCTTTGAGGTTATATAGATTGGAGAACCTAACCATGTTGTTTGTTAGTTCTACCACCTGTAGATCCAAGATAGAGAAAATAATTTTTGATGGCCAAGGTAATAGTTGCATTTTCATAGGTGATGCAAAAATCTTGACACAGAAAAAAAAAGTCCATTGAGAGTGGATCAGAATCAGATGAGTTGGATATTTGGTTGCGGGACCACAATTAATAGCTTGTGAAAAGAAACTAAAAAAAACTTAATTGGGATTTTCATGTTAGTACATTCCCAGCAAATTATACCTCTGTTTATAGTTGCTAGTCAGATAGCAGTGGAGTTTCATTTGGAGTATTATGAACTATGTTATCTGCACTTTAGGGTTATTGACTTCTAGTTTCTCTTAATCTCTTTCTCAATTTTTTGGATTCTTTAAGTAGTTTTTAACTTCTACATGAGTGGCTATGATGTTTTCGTTACTCTATGCTAAGATGACTAATTTTTTTCTGGCATATGTTATGCAACAATTACCATTCATGTGTCTAGGCTTTAGGAATGGCGTTACATGGTCCTCTTTAGTGGGTATTGTTGTCCGGTAAATGAAATTCAAGTGCAAATAGTAGCATGATATTTTAAATCAAATGAAGTTCTTGAAACTGTAGCATAGGCCCTTTTTTTTCGTTTTTCAGTGTTAACTATTTGACTTTTGACATTTTAAAAGTAATAGGGTTCAGTCCAAGTGGGCTCTTATGTGTTATGTTATTATTTTTATCTGACTAAAATATTTCATTTTCTCTTTTTCGTTTTCTGCAGCTTGCTGAGATTGTAAACCAAGGTAAGTTGGTTTCAGATGAAATCATATTCAACTTATTGTCAAAGAGACTTGAGGCTGGGGAAGCCAAGGGGGAATCAGGTTTTATCCTTGACGGTTTTCCTCGAACAGTAAAACAAGCGGTGAGTATCCTTCTCTTGATGAAGACCAATTATTTTGCTTTCTGCTTTGTAAATCTTATCTGATTTCGTATAGTTTACCTGTGGTACTTGTTTTCTGGGTTTGGCCAATTATCTTTCTAGTACTTCCAATAGATCACCCACATGATTTTATGCTCTTCTAAGCCCAAGACTAGTTGGTTGTTCAAATGTTTCATGGTATTATGAAACTTGATGCACCTAATTAGAATATATTACTTATTTATGACATTCTCCAATCATGAGTACCAACCAAGTGAGGTGCTTCATCCTTTGGTCTACAACAGATACTGCCTCTAACAATAGAATTAACTTTGAAACTCTTTGTGGTCTCACTTTTCTTGGCCCAATGGGTCTCTGTGTTCTTCTCTTTTTCTCCCTGTAGTCATATCATTGTTAATGCTCAGATTGCTTGTTTGTCTATGTTTTTAGGAAATACTGGAAGGAGTAGCCGATATTGATTTGGTTGTCAATCTGAAGCTGCGGGAAGATGTCTTACTTGAGAAATGTCTTGGAAGGAGAATGTGCAGTCAATGTGGGGGAAATTTCAATGTGGCTTCTATTAATGTCAAGGGTGAAAATGGTAACCCGGCTATTAGCATGGCTCCACTTCTTCCCCCATCCCATTGTATGTCAAAGCTCATCACCAGGGCAGATGATACTGAAGAAGTGGTGAAAGCACGACTTCGTGTATACAATGAAAAGGTGTCAATTTGTTTACAAAAAGTCTTGGGTCATTTTTACGACCATCTAATAAAATTTCGTGATACGCATTTAATATTTCTTTCTCTCACCTAACTGTTACTATGATTGGCAAATTTTGAAATAACTGTATATGCAGTTAGATTTTATTGGATAACTGTATGGATAGTGTGGTTTGCTTGTCTACCAAAGATTTCTCATTTATTTATACTTCTTATTGAGAACATGTGCAAAACACATTGAAATTGGTAAGATTCCATACTTTTATTTCTTTAATAGATCGGAATTGGTTTTTACCTTTAAACATTTTTTTGTGTATGAGAATTGCATATTCATCAGCATGGCTAATTCCTTTAGGGTATATGCAGTCAAGCTTTTTATGTACATTTATCAATAGATCGAAATTATGCTATCAGGAAATAATGTTTTTAACAGTTTTAGCTGTAGTTATGTGTTAATATAGAGGTGGTTAATGGATTTTGCTCAAGTTCTGTCAAAAAATAGTGATTGATTATGTTTTCCTCTTGTTTGCAGTGCTGCTAATTTCTCTAATTTTCTGTTGCTGTGCTTGCAGAGTCGGCCTGTGGAAGATTTCTACCGCGGTCAAGGAAAATTGTTGGAATTTGATCTGCCTGGTGGAATTCCTGAATCCTGGCCAAAGTTGCTGGAGGCCCTAAATCTTGATGACTATGAGGAGAAGCAGTCTGCTGCGGCATAAACTATTAAAGACATAATGTACTTTTTAATAGTAAGTCTTGTTATTCTTTGCATGTAAAAAGATTGCATGCTTATAAATTTTGCATGAGGAAGAGAAAGAAATTTTATTACCTTTCTTGAATTAAAATAATTAAGATCTAACCATCCTTTAGATCACAAACAATGCCTTGTTGGGCTACAGTATCTTCATATTAGAAAGATTTTTTTGCTGCAATTTGACAGAGAGGGAGAGAGTAGTCATCACCACATTATTTTTTATGGTAACAATAAGAGTTCTGACAGTGGAGATTGATATAATGATACTGTGTTGCTAGTTATAAGTTATGACAATACTGTATTGCTGTAACTGAATATCATGGTTACAGAATTGAATTGTTTTTTGAAGTGCTGGCGCCATGTTCAAAAGTTTCGAGATGGAATACTTGCTAGGGACATGTTAAATGAAAACTTGATCTTATCTCTCCCTCCCACATATTCCTATAATATCCTGAAAATTGTGTTGTCAATGTCATACTTTTGAAATTATTTATTGTGTGTTTTCTGCTATCATATGATGCAGCTTCCACTGTTATCAACTTATCATAAAACACAACTTAAACCTGTGTTTGCCAAAATCAGAATTACCATTGCAGCTAGCCGAGCTGGTTGGCAATAGTTTGCCAGGCAGTAAGTTAACACAGCTGCATACATTAATTGGGACAAACAACCAGCTCTTGATTGCGAGAGTGGCAATGAAGATAGACTTAGCACCCACATGTTATTGAAAGATCCTGATAATTGTATTGTCAATGGCTTACTTCCTTTTGAAATTATTAATTGTGTTTTCTGCCACACATTTGGATGAATTTGGTTATCGGTTGTGTTTCTCCTATTATATGATGTCTCACCCACTGTTATCATAAAATACAACTTAAACCTGTGTTTGCCAAAATCAGAATTACCATTGCAGCTGGCCGAGCTGGTTGGCAACAGTTTGCCAGGCAGTAAGTTAACACAGCTGCATACATTAATTGGTACAAACAACCAGCTCTTGATTGCGAGAGTGGCAATGAAGATAGACTTAGCACCCACATATTATTGAAAGATCCTGATAATTGTATTGTCAATGGCTTACTTCCTTTTGAAATTATTAATTGTGTTTTCTGCCACACATTTGGGTGAATTTGGTTATCGGTTGTGTTTCTGCTATTATATGATGTCTCATCAACTGTTATCATAAAACACAACTTAAACCTGTGCTTGCCTAAACAAGAATTACCATTGCAGCTGGCCGAGCTGGTTGGCTATAGTTTGCCAGGCAGTAAGTTAACACAGCTGCATACATTAATTGGGATGCACAACCAGCTCTTGATTGCTGAGGGTTGCAATGAAGATAGACGTTCCCACACATGTACATAAATCGTAATTAGATTCTGAATTGTTGAATGAAAGTGTCGTCTGTGAAGAAAGTCTTTGATAGCGATTTCAATATAATCTGTGAGGATTTTGGTAGTAGAATAAGCAAAAAAGTACTCAAACAGAAAGGACTGGTGAGCAGGTAAATGAAACAGCATCTTCTTTTTTTTAACCAGAAAAAAGAAAGACGTGTCCTGGATATGCCAATTTAAAGATAGCCATAATAATGTGAGTGAAAGCTGAATATGCAAAAAGAGGCTATTTGTGGCTGTCTTGACTTAATGTTACAATCAAGGCATATATTCGTGCCTGCGTTTGGGCTTTTGAGCAGAAATTGCTTGGAAATCAAGTTCCTTTAAAGTCAAAACAACTTTCTTTTTCTTTTTTTACTGGGATGTTCTTAAGATAAGTGTTGAATGTGTTAATGTATCTAATCTTTGATTATGATGCATTCTTGAAGCACTTTTGTCGTTTTATTAAAAGTAAGTGCTTTATTACTTTGTCGTTGGTGATCATAATTAGCCTAACAAATTATAGTAACAATTTGACTTTTTAATAAAGGGGAGAATGACAATTTCCCACCAAGGTTTAGTGTAAGCAAGTTTTCCCCACCAAAATGGATGTAAAAAACAAGTTTTCATCCATCATTAAGATGTTAGTGAAATTTGTTAACTGACATGGTATAGTCAGTATAATTGTAATGATGAAAATATCTTTAATTATTTGAATCTAAATCAAAATCCATACCCACATCCAAACTGAAACACTACTCCATTATGAATTTCTTCAAATCCAACTTCTCTCTCTACCCCTTACCATTGTTGTGGCCACAATGGTGATCTTACAAGGCCACTATTGCTGGAACGATGGTTTTTGAGCAAGGCCACCATTATCAGTCCTTAGAGCCTTACCATACAAACCGAACCTCATTTTTTCTCAACCCAATGAATGGAAACAATCATCAAACATCAAAGAATCCAAAATCAAATTAAAAAAAAATAAAAAAAATCAAGCTTTATTGATTGTTCTTCTCGGTCAAATAGGTTTGACTTGGTTTGATCGAGTTTGACCACTACGCACTCCACCCCTACCAATCGTCGTGTTCTTTACTAGTCCCTAGAGCCTCACCCTACCAACCTTTATATTTTTTGCAGAGGCATTTGTTGCCAACGATCGGTGATAGAATTGCACCAATCTAGGTGCAATTTGCCTGAAATCGCACTTAGGGTGGTGTGATTTTGCTGGAATACCCATATTCAACACTTCAACTCCCTACCATCAACAATAATAATATTTTCGCAATCAACCGCAAAAATAGAAACTCATTCAACACTTCCTATCAAAAAATTATTTTACATATTCCACTCTAAACCACTTTTTTAAAACCCGATTCAACTTGACTGGTTTAATCGAGACCCGAGGCCTCACTAGGTCGGGTTTACATTATTCATATTCATCCCAAAACCCTAGAATTTGGGATGATGATTGGCGAACAATTGAAGGTCGGAATGTTAGGGCTTTTGAAGAGAAAGTGCCGATGAATGTAATGGTGGCAACGAAATTGATTTCGGATGAGTAAATCGGTCAGAAATTGAAAAACACTGGCGGCGGCAACAATCGGCTTTTTTCGACAATTGGTGAGGCTAAGAGGGTGGGGTGAGGTGCGTTTTGGTCGAAAGGAAGAGGGTCGTATTTTTGGGGTGCTGGGGAGGGTTGTCGACGTCGACATCGGTGAGATCTGGCCTGGAATGTCGATGCCGGCGTCGGTGAGATTTGGCTGAAATCGAATCGATATTGGCCAAATCTTGGGTAGATTTTCAAGGGAATGGACTCAAGGGACAATTGGGGTTCCATTTGGGGTGTTGCTGCCGCCAACCAGTCGCTAGCCGATTTGTATTTGGGGTGTGTTTGCTAAATTTCAAACCTATGGGGATATAACTGTAATTTTTAAGAGTGTATTTGCTAAATTTTAAAACTTTTTGTTAGCCGGTTTGACTAGTTGGTCAAACCGGTTAAACCAATCAACTTGGGACTCGGTAATGTCGTCGGGTTTCATCCCGTGTTGGGTTTTAACTTTTAAAACATTACTCTAAACAACAAATAGTAAAAAACAAAAAAGGTAGAGACAAGAGACAAGGAGAGGAAGTGGAGGAGAAAGTTGATAAGAGGAAGAGAGAGAGAAAGAGATGGAGAAGAGAAGAAACGGAGAAGAAAGGTGGAGGCAAAGGAGACGAAAAAAATAAAAAGAGAAAGAGGAAATATAAAATTTACCATTTTGTCCTATTTAGTTAAATTTAATAGACAAATTGTAACACCCACATTGAGGTACGTTATTTATGTTCTAATACCCTTAGTTTTACTTGTTGAAAGGTGAAAGATTGAAAACTTAGAATTTGCAAACTTCGCCGCGACATTGTACACACTGCCCAAATCGTGCTTTTAGAATTACAGACTTCGCCGCGGTCAGGAAAGAAGTTTGCCGCGGCAATGTATGCTCTGGAATGTCTTGCCGAGGCGAAGAAAAAGCTTCGCCGGGGCAAAGAACTCTCTAGAATTTTTTGAGAAAATTCTGGAAACCTTGCTCAAGGGCAAAATAGTCATTTCACTCATAATTAGTTGAAGGTGTGGGGAGTGAAAAGTAGTAGAATTTCATGGAGAATGCAATGGAATAAGGGCATTACTGTAATTGACTGAAGGGCAAAGATGAAATTTTATAGAAAGTACAAGGGCAAAATGGGAAAGTAAAAGTAATATTATGTGATATTAAGGGTTCAAGAATTGAAACCCTACCATTTTCTACTCCCTCACACACCACCTTCATCCCCAATTCTCTCAATTTTCTTCACCAAATTTCCAAGGAAATTTATAGGATTTTGGTAGATTTTTAATCCTAAGCATCCAAAGGTAAGATTCTTGCACCAAGATGTAAGATTAATTTTTTTTAAAAGTGTTGAATTCTTATAGTTTATATGCTTACGATTTAAGAAAAAGAGGAAGTCTACCAAAGAGAGAGATTCTAGTGTGGAACTACTCAAGTTCAAGGTAAGTAAATCCAACCCTAGTCATGATTTGAGCAAGAATTGGATAGAGGAATTTTTATATACATTTATGTGCTTGAATGTTGAGAATTGTTGATGGAATTGATGTTGAGTGTTAGTTAGAATTCCACCATGAAAAGTAGTGTTTAGTATGAGATGAATTGGTGGAAGTTTGAAGAAGTTATGAAAGAGTTGGAATAGAATTTTGAAGTATGAACTTCCTGGCCAGGTTTGAAGTTGATTTTAGAGAATTGTGCTCCAAATTTTGGTAGCTAGAAAAAGAGATAAAAGTGTGGCTGATTTAGTGCTTGTTTGTGCATACAACTTATTTGATGAAATTTCAAAGTGAAATGCATGTATGATTATAATAGCATATTATCTTGAGATGAGTTTGTAGATGGTAGAGAAAGTAGAGAATGACATGATTACATGTCATATTGCATTCTTGTATTTAAACATTTGAATTTAGAAAGAATAACAAGAAAAAATCCATCTACATGCATAAATGCATATAAGCACACTAAAAAATAAAGAGAAAGAAAAGAAAACTACTAAAGAAAAGAAAACAAATTGAATACAAATTTCTAAAAGAAAGACAAAAGAAAAGAAGGTTGTTGCGATGGGGAACTCGTGAGTGACAAGAAGAAGAATATTCTCACATGCACGCCGCCCTCAGTAAGCGGCCTAAGAATAAGAAAGAAGAATTTGTACAGTCCGTAACAGCGCATGTGGATGAGAACTGTATCCAAAATAATATACCTACATGCACGCAGCCTTTAGCGAGCGGCCTAAGAATAAGAAAGAAGAAGTTGTACTGTCCGTAAGAAGTGTATGTAGATGAGGACTGTACGCACTCACACAATCGGGGTTTTGAATCCATGTCTCAACCGAGTCCAATCGGCAAACAAGAATAGAAAAGAAAGGAAAGAATAAAAAAGAAGAAAGAAAGAA